TTAGTATTTATTATATAAATATATATATATATATATATATATATATATATATATATCATTTGCTAATTTTTTTATATTGCATTGGATGTCAATTAAACTCATTTTTTTTCTTCAAACTCAAATATAGAACATGCACCATATATGTAAGAGTCTTTTTGAATATATAAGTTAGAAGCGTTTTTATCATTTTTTATTAAAAAAAAATATTTTTAATAAAAAATTTGTCAAAATTATTTTTAAACTTATATCAAAATAAGTTTTTAATGTTAATTTGCTTGTTTCCATCCTTATGCGGGCTCAACTTTTCTTTTTTCTTTTTCTATTTATCTTTCTTGTTCTAACCTTATTTTGTTCGGAGTAGTAGCGAAATAGAAAAGAAAATAAATAAAAATAACAATAATAGAAATAGAAATAGAAAAATTAAAAATATTATGTTATTTGGAAAATAAAAATAAAATACAAGTAAAATATTATTTTTCTTTGTTTGAATGAGTGGAAAGATAATGGCAAAATAAATGACTTATATGAAAAATATTTTTATATTAGCTAATTTTTTAATTCATTATTTTTTATTTAGCATAAAATATTGATTATTTTAATAATAAAAATCGTTTCATAAAAATTAAAACAAAAAATAGTGACAATTTTCCTTCCATTTCATGTTAATTTAGAAGGAAAATATGTTTTTGTAACAATTTGGCATATTTCTACATTTTACAGCTTGATAATTTAGTTGGTAAAAAAATATAAATATAATAACTTAGGATTAACAGGCAAATAGCTCATGAATATACATGATAGAGAGAGAACAAAAAAGAAAATAATCAACTGAAAACACAAATGTTCCTCAATAAAACTACATAAAAATCCTAAACACAATAATCAAAAAACAAAAAACATAACCTTAGGTTGTCGGTCAAACAACATTTAAACAAGATGTGTCAAAAAAATCACCAACACAACACCTCCATCTCTAGCATGGTAGTCCAAAAAGTCTAGCTCACCCTTCGACCTAATCCTATCTTGCTTCCACAATAATATAATCATCATAGTATAACAATAAGAAAAAATAAGGATAAGCTTATAGACAATAGGACATCACATAATATAAAAGAAATTTCACAACTACATTAACAATTTCAACATATCCAAATTATACAACATACCACCATTTCAACTCAACTATGGCCCAATACAACTCATATCAACATAGAATACATAATTCTAACTAATCAACACAATTATACAACTCAACATCATTTCAACTTTTTTCAATATAACATATAAATAACACAACTACTCACAACTTAACAAAATTGATCATCATCTCAACATTACAACAACTAAACAATACAACAGTTTAGCAACACAACAACTAGCAAAATAACATCTCATGTATTGTTAAGCATTTCAATTAAGAGATCTCTTATAACAAGTGAGTAGTCTAAGTTGTTTGACCTTACTAAATCAACTTAATAACACGATCTTTTTGGACTTGCTAGATCAAAAACAAATTTGGATATCAATCTACAACACAACATGATTTCTCG